TCACAAGAAGGAGTTCTTGCACCTAGACGCAGTGGGTGGTGTGGATCAATGTTAGAGGGTCTGAACCCTTCAGACCTACCTTGATCATCGCGAGTTTTCACGAACAAGGTAACATCATGCTTTCCTAAAGCATGATCTTGAATGCATGTGTGTTCCGCAATGAAAAAGTTTTGTTTTTCCCTCCAGCATGCATCGGCCTTCAAGGTCAATTCCAACTTTCAATTTTAAAGCTTAGGATATGAACTTTAATATCCTAAAATATGGAATAGCAAGGATTGTAATAACATGGTACAATTTTGCTATTTTTTTCGCTGCCCAGTTTGCAGGGAAGTTGACGACAACAGTTGATAACTTAGGAAATTCATAACTCCTTTGTTTCTTATCGAAACAAGGCTTATAATATATCAAATTGAAGGTTTGGATGTAAATTATAACATATTAAAAATTGAGAGAAAACAAGTAAGTGGTTTTACTAAAGTTTGCAACGCTGTAAGGTAGCGTCATTCTTGTTGTTGACATATGTTGACAGTTTTGAGCAATAAACAGTTTTAAGCTTATGATACCTAGTTGGAAAGCTTATAATGTCTAGTTTAACATAATAGAATATGAGAATTTAATTAATAACATGTCAAGTGCAGTTTTCACAAAACTGAACCTATATAAGGTTGGTACATCGCGTAAAAATGTATCGTTGCTTTGTCGGTTTATGATAACCACTTAGCATTCTTTATATGTGCTTTGTGTGATATTTAAGCAGTAGTTTCGTAAATGTTTTGGGTTATGATCATTTTAAGGGAATTTTTCTGAATACAGTGGTTTTAAAATGAAAATGTTATGTTTTAAAGAAAAAAAGTTTACCGTATTTCAATTCAATTACCGTGGTTATAACTAAGCTTAATATCATAAGTATGGCTAATACGTCGGTCCGGAACAGGGTGTTACAACAATAATCTTTGACCAAGAATTGAACCTAGGTGTAAAGTTAAAGCTTACTTTTAGCCTAGTTGACTTTTTAATTAATCAATTTTTGACTTAATTCTTTAAATTATTCCACACATCATTTAATTAAATTAGACACATATATAACCCTTAAAATTCAACAAAGAATTTAACTAGATTGTCAGAACTTAGTTCAGACCTAGTTTGCAAAATTATCAAAATACCCCTGTTACCACAAATTTGGCATTTATGTCTCTAAACACAAATTATGTTCTTTTTACGTTCTAATTGACTTGTTAGGCATGAATTATATCCTTAGATCCATTATAATGATTGTTTCATGATTCAACCGTTAGAATTCTCTTAACAGTCACAAAATTCACACACTATCTCACTTAACTCTCAATTTCACATAGTTTGAGAATTAGGGTTGTTATAGGCATATTTCGTCTTAGAGGGGCAGACACATTTTGCTCTAGTGGGGACAAAAAAATCCTTCCCTAATTCCCTCCTTGTTTGGGACGAATTCTACCCTTTTATGAATCAAAATTGTTGATGATATTAGGGACCAAAAATACATATTAGAGACAGATTTATTTCGTCCCTAATATGAATGAAATTTTAGTTTCGTCCCGAACTATTAGGGTGGAGCTATTTAGATAGAATTTTTTTTGTCCCTAATTTATTTAGGAACAGATTTATGTCTTGTAAGGGCGAAATTTGTTCGTCCCTAATACCTATTTTTTTTAGTAGTGTAATGCCTTAAGTCTTGGATCTTGGTTCTTGACTTAAACTTGATGCTTTGATTTGTTTATTTTTCAATCACTTTAATACTTTGTTGAATTGCTTACATTAGTTTACTTTAACACAACATTAATACACTAGGTCCTCTTCCCTCGAAACTTGTCTTGTTGCTAAGGATTTTGTTCTTTTTTTGCTTTTGATTCTTTGCTCTACTCAAAACTCACCATGTTTTGCCATTTTATTAGCTCATTTTTTTTGTGTGGGCATATATATAGCTTCAATCTTCACACATGGTAATGCTTTTTGCAAGTGATTATTATCTTTTTGTTGTTACCACTTTATTATAATCAAAATATATATATACTGTATACACTTTTATTCAATGGCAGGAGAAAGGAGTAAGTTTCTTATTATGGTTTTCTATGATTATTAGGCTCTTTGATAACATAAGCAACACATTTTATTATTGGTGTAGATATATTTTAATGGAAGAGCCTAACCACATATTTACAAATCTTTTGCCTAATTTGGCTTATAGAACCCTGCCAACTTTGTATCCAAATTTCTTTTACATAAAACCAGCTAAAAATGAAAAAAAAAGTTAGTGTTTCTTTAATAGAATTATCTCAAAATGAGTCATTTTGCAATTAGAAAAAAAAACACAGTGTATTTAAAAAAATTATATTATAAAAGAGAAATAAAATTATTAAAATATTTTATATTTTTTCCTCCAAATTCTAAAATAATGTCTTTTGCAATCACACATATAACTTCATTTCTTATTGAGAAATATTACTCTTATTCTTATTCTTCGTGAGATAGTTATATCATGTTCTCTCACTTCAAAAATGCACCCCTTATTTTTTTTATTTTTTTTTGCTTTTTAACTATCCACTTGGATTCTCTCTATAGCATGAGAGTAATATTCCCCTTCCTTATTACATGATGAACCCTTAGTTCATCATGGTTTTTAGCAGGAATTAGGATCAAATTGTGTGATTAAATGATGAAAAACAAGGTTAATGTCCTAAGATGTCCTCAATTACAAGTTCAAGAGCTTTATTGGAAATTTGTATGATTCTTGTAGGAAAAGCAAGCTTGAAAGACAACTGGAGAAGGAAGAAGATTCTGGAGCTCAAGAGGAGAAAAATTGCCTAAGTGTTGAGCGCTAAAACGTCCACACTGAGCGTTTTAGTGCCCTGTTACAGGAAGAGGCCAAAACTTGCTGGTGTTGAGCGCTAAAACGTCCACACTGAGCGTTTTAGCGCCCTGTTACAGGAAGAGGCCAAAACTTGCTGGTGATGAGCGCTAAAACGTCGACACAGAGCGTTTTAGCGCGCTGCTACACTAAGAAGATGGAAAATTGCTGGTCTTGGGCGCTAAAACGGCCTGCAATATGCGTTTTAGCGCCCTAAAGTGGAAAAAGATTCTGGTCTTCACCGCTAAAACGTCTAAATCAAACGTTTTAGCATTGGAGTCAGTTAAAGTTAGTTGAGCATTCACCAAGTTTGGACGCTAAAACGGTCATTCCTTAACGTTTTAGCATTGAAATCAGTTAAAAGCAGTTGAGCATACGTAAAGCATGGACGCTAAAACGGCCACTTATGGACGTTTTAGCGCCCACATCAGTTTTCTGTTTTTAATTGTAACACTATATAAGGCAAAGCCTTGACACTTAGATCAGAATCTGGGGGATCTGAACTCTCTCTCTCTCTCTTAAACTTAGTCTGACTTCTCTCTAAATTCTCTTAGTTTTTGTATTAGGATTTCCTTGTAATAGTTTGGAGATTGAAGACTTTCAACATGGAAATGAAGTTTGTTTCTTCTTCTCTTATTTATTCCTTAGTCATGTCCGAGTAGAGTCTTTGTAGTCTGAATGCAATGGAACTCCATGATAATATTATGTTGATTTGATTAATATGATGACGTATTTTTCATGTGTTGATTTGAGATTTTCTGAGTTAATTATTTCTATCAAAGAAGTAGTATAGAACATGGATGTTTATATGACTTCTGTATTTGATAATCTCAACATCAGAATTCTAGTACTCAAGGGATTGATGCTAGAATTCTGATGTAATCTTAAAACCTTAGTATTTCATGCATGTATTAAGAAAGAGATCACCAAGGGATTGAGGTTTCTGATTAATGTATCTATCAGGGTAGTAAGGGATTACATCTTGATGATAAGTAAAAGGTTGATTAACATCACATGGAAAGGAATTCATCATATGATCAATGTTTATATGGGTTATCATGGAGGAGAGTTGTTTTCTGACTACTTGTTGTTTTTATTAATTCCTAATCCATATTTACTTTGTGTCAAATTACTTACAATCAATTTTCTGGTGACAAATTATTCATGATTTTTACAAACTCTTATTTGATTCAAATTAGTTTTCTATGGTATATTGGTGTTTGAACACAATTCCTCGTGGGAACGATCTTTACTCATCATTTTATTACTTGTACGATTAGTGCACTTGTTAAACGTCCAACATTACATAAAAGGGTAAAGAATTTCTCCAGTCAATATAGATAAGTTATCTTCGGTAAGCTTAAAACAATGTTGCGTTGGGTGAAAATCAAGATATTTTTGTAATTCTAATATATTATAGGATTATATTAATCTTTATCATTATATTTTTCTCGGGATAGGTTATTTTACCTACCATTTTTTTTTCTGCCTACCTTTGCCTACCACCATCTAATACTGTTAGATCAGAATCTTAAGAAGAGAGAGAAAGACAAATGTTAGTTAAGATTCTGATCTAACGATGTTTTAGAGTGGTAAGCAAAGGTAGGCAGAAAAAATAATAAATAGAATAACCTATCCCATTTTTTCCTACAAAAAAATACTCTTTCCGAAAAGTTATTTGGAAATTCGACGGGGGTAATTCTACACAATCATTGAGAAGGTTGATGTTTAATAGGGTGTTTTAATTTAATAAACTGTTTATTCTCAAACACACATTTTGATTAGGGTTGAAAATAATATTTTTACATAAATATAACCCATCAGAAATATATCCTTACTCGGTAAATTTTACGATCCTCGGTAAATTTTACGATGTCCGTTTTAATTCTTAGCAATTAAAAAAGTCCATCATGATTTTCTGAATCTGTGAGAGACTACAATTTTAATTAAATGAGTTCATTTTAAATTTTTTAAGGTGAACTTTTTTATTTGCCAAATACGAAAGAAGGGATCATAAAATTATTAAGTACAAAAAGGTATTTACTCCTTAATTTATTTGACAGTCAATTTTTAATTAACTTAATATGCATAACTTGTATCAGTTCATGGTTCCCAGATCAAGCAGTGACTAGGGACGTTGGTGGCTTCGTTCCCATCTCACACCCATTTTCAGTCCTTCGTTCTTCAAAAATGGGATCTACTCCTAACGCAAACGCGAACGGTTCAGACGCCGTAACGTCGTTAATAGACTTCGGAACCGCAGAGGCAGTGGATTACGTGTGTTCACTAACGGACGTTGGAACAATGACGCGTCTTCTTCACGAGTGCATAGCCCATCAGAGAGCACTAGACGACGAACTCGATGACCTCTTATCTCAGCGAACCGACCTCGACAAACACCTCATCGCTCTCCAACGTTCCTCTGAGGTTCTCGACATCGTAAACTCCGACGCCGATCACGTGCTCTCCAACGTCTCCTCCACGTGCGACCTAGCCGATGACGTCAGCCGCAAGGTCCGCGAACTCGACTTGGCGCAATCGCGCGTCAGATCCACGCTACTCCGCATCGACGCCATCGTCGAGAGGGGAAATTGCCTCGAAGGTGTGCAGAAAGCATTGGAGAGCGAGGATTACGAATCCGCCGCGAGGTACGTTCAGATCTTCCTTCAAATCGACGCGCAATACAAGGAGTCCGGTTCGGACCGGGTGCAGAGGGACCGGTTGATGGCAGCGAAGAAGCAGCTCGAAGGTGTTGTGAAGAAGAAGCTCTCCGCCGCAGTGGACCAGCGAGACCACACCTCGATTCTGAGGTTTATTCGGCTTTACACGCCTCTGGGTAAAAACCGGAATTAGGAGTTTTTAACTTCGTTCAAGTTGGAATTAGGAATTAACGCATATTTGGTGTTAATTTTTAACTTAAAAACGTAATTAGGAAACGGAATCTGAATCTGGTAACCAATTTATGCCTGAACGATTTGAAGATTTCAAAATATATGAATTTATAAACCATTATATCCTTTTGCATCTTTACCTTCTTTGTTTAAGTTTTGTCTGTAATATTTAGCTTATAATAATATTTTTTCCTTCATATTTTTGTTTCTTGGATTATATATTTTAAATTTTGTGAGTTTGCGACTTAAATATCTTTAAGGTTGAAGATAGATTTTGTTGTTTAATTAAGCTTTTTTTTTTATAACTTTTTCTTTTTAATGTAGGTTTGGAGGAGGAAGGGTTACAAATTTATGTTAATTATTTGAAGAAGGTGATTGGGATGAGATCCAGAATGGAGTTTGAGCAGTTGGTGGAGATGATGGAACAGAGGAATGTCAACTTTGTTGGCTGTTTGACCAATTTGTTCAAGGACATTGTTTTGGCGATTGAAGAGAATAGTGAGATCTTGAGTGGTTTGTGTGGGGAGGATGGTATTGTGTATGCGATCTGTGAGCTTCAGGAGGAGTGTGATTCGCGTGGTTCTGTTATCTTGAATAAGTATATGGAGTATAGGAAGTTGGCTAAGTTGGCATCGGAGATAAATGCTCACAACAATTTGCTTGGTGTTGGCGGAGGTCCTGAGGGACCTGACCCACGAGAGGTTGAGTTGTACTTGGAAGAGATTCTGTCCCTTATGCTGCTTGGTGAGGATTATACTGACTTCATGATTTCGAAGATCAAGGCTCTTACTTCTGTTGATCCTGAATTGGTCCCTCGTGCAACCAAGGCCTTCAGGAGTGGTGGTTTTAACAAGGTTGCTCAGGATTTGACTGGGTTTTATGTGATTCTGGAGGGTTTTTTCATGGTGGAGAATGTTAGGAAAGCTGTGAGGATTGATGAGCACGTGCCTCACAGCCTCACCACTTCCATGGTGGATGATGTGTTCTATGTCTTGCAGAGTTGCTTAAGGAGGGCGATATCCACTTCAAATATAAGCTCTGTTATTGCTGTTTTGAGTGGGGCTTGTAGCTTGTTGAGCAATGAATATCATGAAGCCTTGCAACAGAAGATGAGAGAACCTAATCTTGGTGCAAAGTTGTTCTTTGGCGGTGTTGGTGTGCAGAAGACTGGGACAGAAATTGCAACAGCTCTAAATAATGTGGATGTAAGCAGTGAATATGTTCTGAAGCTAAAACATGAAATTGAAGAACAGTGTGCTGAGGTAAGTGGTGTTCTTTTTGAACCTTGCACTTATAGTTGGCATTTGGCAATGAAATTCATTACAGCAGTAAATATTTTTGGCAATGTATGGTGTGTTTGGTGTTCCATCACAAGGTAATTTGAGATTCCTAGTGTATGGATTAATCATAAAAGAAGTTGATTTGTGTTAAAAATCATGATGAAAATCAATAGAGGAATTGTTTTTGAACTAAGCATGTGTATGGAGTTTCTGTTTCATTTAATTTGCACGGGATATAAACTGTAGTAGAAAGGGTTGGAGGGTAATAATAATGCTGTATCCATATGGCCAAAAGTAGAGTTTTGTGTGATATGTAGAAATAAGTCTTAGGTAGATATGGAAAGGAAGCAGTATAAAACACAACAATTTCAAGATTTGCCTTTTTGGCAACTTCAAAATTACAGATCATTGATGTTATTATCTCCTGAATGGTGTGATAAATAAATGGTCAAATTTGTATCAATTACATAAATCTGTAGATGATTGATTAGAGAAATTCTGTCAAATTATGCTTTAGAAATGGTATTATCGATGATTTAAATGTAGGAAGCTTCTAGGCAGAACAACGGTTATATTTTTATTTATGGCACTTTGTTTTCCTATATAATATATATCATTTAAAAATTGCGGCATTAACTGACTGGATTACTTTATACAGGTGTTTCCTGCGCTGGCTGATCGAGAAAAGATAAAATCTTGCTTGTCTGAGTTGGGAGATAGCAGCAATGCTTTCAAGCAAGCTTTGAATGTTGGCATAGAACAACTTGTGGCAACCATCACACCACAAATACGACCAGTATTAGACTGCGTGGGAACAATCAACTATGAACTTTCAGAGGCTGAGTATGCAGATAATGAGGTGAATGACCCATGGGTTCAGAGACTTCTCCATGCTGTGGAGACAAATGTGGCATGGCTGCAGCCACTGATGACTGCTAACAATTATGACTCTTTTGTTCATTTGGTCATTGACTTCATTGTGAAAAGGCTTGAAGTCATCATGATGCAGAAAAGATTTAGTCAGCTTGGTGGTCTTCAACTTGACAGAGATGCTAGAGCTTTGGTAAGCCATTTCAGCATCATGACACAGAGAACTGTTAGAGACAAGTTTGCACGTCTTACTCAAATGGCAACAATTCTAAATTTAGAAAAGGTGTCTGAGATTCTAGATTTCTGGGGTGAGAACTCTGGACCTATGACCTGGAGATTAACTCCAGCAGAGGTTAGGCGTGTATTGGGTCTGCGAGTTGATTTTAAACCAGAAGCAATAGCTGCTCTGAAGTTGTAATACCCATGTATATTGTCTCTTCACATTCTGTTGTTTAGTTTTTTAAATTTTGCATTACATCTTCATTCTTTTTGTTATTATTTTGTGTTTGGGAAATTAACATATAATTCTGTTATGCTAGCTTCAAAAGCAAAAGAATACGCAAGTGTAATTAGATTTGCCACCCAAGATAGGTCTTGCTTATGCATGGAGCATCTTGTGTCAAAGAGTCTTTGTACTTTGTTACCTACTTTCCATTTTTATTTTTTGTAAATAATTTTTGAGACTTCTATTTCATGTTTCTAATCAGTGAAATTCAATGTTTAATGAAGTTTGTTCATAGCCTTTTACTTCAGAACTCCACTTTGCAGAATTCACCAATGCTGCAGTTACTCGGATAATTCATTCTTATTTCAAAAATACTGCTTGCAAATTCCAAAGTATCACTTGTATGATGATGCCACTTCTCATATTAACTTCTGCAAGTTTATGTGGGATGTTGTAAAACATACTAGAAACCAGTACAGATAACAAATTTTGCACCTTGGTGTGAAAGGTTATTGGTATTGCCAAAGTTACTAATATTTGTATACTTTTTAGTCTTTTTATTTGAATTCATAACCCATGTTTCTATTAAGAAAAATTTCTAGGATTTTTGTTCTGGTATATTTTTTTCTAGTTGATAATATTATTGACTGTATACACAAAATCCCCATTATTTTCTTATCCTTTTTAGGCTTGAGTTTTGTTAATTTGATAGTGCATTTTTTCATACTTATTTTAGAATTCATACTGAAACTTTTTCATTGTCCCTGTTTTTGTGTGGATCGGGGTGTACTGTGTCAATAGAATTTAAGTTGTAAAATCTATGTAAAATGAAAAATTCAAGGGATACAAACAATTTGCTTACATCTGCCTTTGGACTGCTATTTAGGCTTTCCATTTAAATTGGTTGTGTTCTTTCTTTTATGTTGTGCTTGTAAGTTGTAGTTACTGATTGGAAGTGGAGGTGAAGGTGCTGTAATATTTAGAGAGAAAGATTTTATGCTAATTCTCCTTTTTAATTTCCACCCAAAGCTGTCAGTATGGATTACAGCCCATGACCACCCCATTTGGCATCTTATGTACCCGAGTGTTTAGAGCCCCCTAATTAGGGGGTTATTTTTTATCCTAACCCACTGGTGAGAAGCTAAAATACGTCTACAGCAGAAGAGAGAAGAGAGACCGACCGACACACAACAACTGAAGAAATGCAGAAAGATAGTGGGCCAGATGTGGTGAGCCCAATAGAAGTGGACCCAATAGGAATGGATGCTGAAGAGGATACTGAAGATGCTAAAGAGGATACTGAAGAGCAAGCATTCAACACGGAAGGAACCGATAAGGAGGAACACTTATCATAGTTGGTTATAACAAAATTAAGGGGTATGGGGGAAGGAGTTTGTTAGAGGAAAGAGAGTATGAAGAAGAATATAAGTAAGGCAATTGTATGAGAGTAGGGGATATGAAAAAAGCTTATCCAATTCAGTGGTGAATTGTAGGGAAGGGTACTGTGGAGTCCCTTAGGTGTTTCATTTCCAGTTTTAGTTTTATTTCCTTCAAGGTTGTATCAACCATTGTAATGTTTGCTTGTTGTACTGTTTCATTGAGTTTGTCTATCTGAATTGAATCCGAGTTCGTTGTTTTTTTATTTCCAAATTGGGTTTCATTGGAGTCCCTTAGGTGTTTCATTTTCAGTTTTAGTTTTATTTCCTTCAAGGCTATATCAGCCAGTGTAATGTTTGCTTGCTATACTGTTTCATTGAGTTTGTCTATCTGAATTGAATCTGAGTTCGTTGTTTTTTTATTTCCAAATTGGGTTTCATCAATTTGGTATCAAAGCTTCAGATCCTGGAGCGTTATATGGTTCACATTAGAATGGAAGGGAGAGTTGAATTGTTGGAGCATAGAGCGACGAATGTGGAAGGAAGAATGGAGGAGATGACAGAATCCATGAGGCAATTGAGAGAAATGATGTTAGCTTACATGGACCGAGTAGACCAATGTGACAGCAGCTCGGGTAGCCACGATCGGAATCGAAACTCTGAAAATGAAAACAGAGGAGTACGTAACGGAGGAAACACAAGAGAGGAAGAACGGATCAGACGTCTGGAGGTCCCTTATTTTTCAGGGGAAGATCCGTATGGCTGGATTTATCGTGCAGAGAGATACTTCAGGATCAATCATATTCCACCGGAAGAACAAATTGAGGCAGCTTTGATTTGTATGGAAGGCAAAGCACTGAGCTGGTTTCAATGGTGGGAAGCTCGTAACCCTATGATTAATTGGGGGCAAGTTAGAGCAGCAATTCTTCAGAGGTTTCGCACATCCTCATCACGGAATCCATTTGAAACACTGATGTGCCTTAGGCAGGTAGGCACGGTGGCAGAGTACCGTGAGAACTTTGAAATGCTGGTGCCGTTGAGGGAAGCGGACGAGGAGGTAATGAGAGCGACCTTTCTAAATGGGCTAAAAGAAGATATACGAGCTGAGATACGTTTGCATCGCGTTGAAACTATGGAAGAGATGATGTCTCTCGCTCATAAAATTGAGGAAAAAGAAAACGTAGTCGGGAAGAAGATGATGGGATGGGGCCGAAGCGGATTTGGAGGAAATGGGCCAGGACAGCATTCCAGGGCTGCACTTACGACCCGAACTCATAACCTAACTGGGGAGACTATAGGAGGGGTGGCTGGGTCTCGAAATGGGCTTCCAAATAGATGGCCCAACTCTAATAACTCTAATAGAAACCAAGGAGCCCAGACTCAAAATAACACCAAGATTGCAACCTTAGGGCACAACGACGGAAATAGGGAGAGTCTAGGGTCCACGACAAGAACCCACGCGACAAACGATGGCGCGACTGACAGACGCGACGCGATTTACCAGAGGCTGTCGACGGAGGAAATCGCGGAGCACCGGCGTCGGAATTTGTGTTTCCGATGTGACGCACCGTATTCAGCGGACCATATTTGCGGCAACCCACAACTGAATGTCTTGTTGCTGGGGATAGGTGGCGAGGACGAGCACAGAGATGAAGAGAAGGGGAGTCCAGTGATGGGAGAGGAAGAACAACCCATGCGGCTAAGTGTGCACAGCATCGTCAGAGTGACGTCCAATCGATCCTTCAAAGTGTGGGGAGAAATGTTAGGACGACGGATTGTGGTACTTGTGGATACAGGAGCTACTCACAACTTCTTTCATGAGCAGCTGGCCAAGGACTTGGGTGTTCCAATCGACAACATCTTTGTGGTAGTGGACTGCCTCTGTAAGTATGCACACTTTATTTGTTTGTCACACCCATTTACTGCTCAACATGTGGCTGCTGTGTTCGTCAGTGAAGTGGTGCGTTTACATGGGTTCCCTAAGTCAATCATCTCTGATAGAGACCGAGTCTTCATCAGTAGTTTTTGGAGTGAGCTTTTTTGTCTTGCGGGTACTAAATTGAGGTTTAGTTCCGCATACAATCCCCAAAACGACAGCCAAACGGAGGTGGTAAATAGAACGGTGGAGACTTACCTTCGCTGTTTTGTCGGTCAGCACCCTAAAGGCTGGGTTAAGTGGATTCCTTGGGCTGAATTTTGGTTCAACACCTCCTACAATAGATCCATTCAAATGACACCTTTTCGAGCTCTATATGGTCGTGATCCTCCCGTTTTGATTCAGTTGGGGAATGACAGTACAAAAATGGATGTTGTGGATCAGTTGGTACGCAATAGAGATGCCATTTTGGAGGAGCTGAAACACAACCTCTATCAAGCCCAAGCACAGATGAAGCTGTTAGCAGATAAGAAAAGAAGAGATGTGGAATATGCAGTGGGGGACCAAGTATACCTCAAGATTCAGCCATATAAGCTGAAGTCGTTGGCTAGGCGTGTAAATCAGAAACTTAGTCCTCGGTTTTATGGACCTTTTGAGATCACTAAGCGGGTGGGTCCTGTGGCATATGAATTATTACTTCCTACTTATGCGAAGATTCATCCAGTCTTTCATGTTTCGCAATTGAAATGGGCTGTCAACCCAGTTGTACAGGTTTTGCCTTTTCCACAATGTTTGTCTGAATCATTGGAAATGCAAGTCCAACCAGAAGACGTGATAGACAACTGCAGGTTAATAGGGGGCCAAATTGAAATCTTGGTGCACTGGGCTAGATTACCTGAGTGATGGCTAAACTACGATATTCTGCCTCAGCTATGGATCGAGCAACAAGAGTTTGCTTCTTGGACCACCAAGAAATAAGATTAGGTCCCAAGAAAATACAAGCACCAAAGTTAAAATGCCTATCATCTGGATCACTTAACCAGTCTGCATCACAAAAGGCAAAGATGGAGAGAGGATGATGCTTATCAGCTTTTTGGAGAACCAAACCATAAGTGTTGGTCCCTTTTAGATACCTTAGAATCCTTTTCATTATCTTCCAATGCTCCTCTAATGGTTGAACCATGAACTGACACACCTTGTTTACTGCATAGTTGATTTCAAGACGTGTAATAGTAGCATATTGAAAGGCCCAACAATAGACCTATAATGATGTGGATCAGAAAAATATGTGAGCCATATTTGGATAGCTTATAGCTTGAAGGCATGGGAGAGGAGATTCCTTTTGTATCATACATGTCTGCCTTTGCAAGTAGGTCCCTCACATACTTGGAATGGGTCAGAATGAGACCACCCGAACCATGTTGTTTGACTTCCACACCCAGAAACTAGTCTAAAATTCCTAGGTCTTTCAAAGCAAACTGAGAGTGGAGTTGATGAATGAGTTGTTGAATGTAAGTTGATTCTGTCCCTGTGATTATTATATCATCAACATAGACTAATAGGCATGTATAACATATTGAAGACTTAGAAACAAATAATGAAGGGTCATAACAACTAGACTGAAACCCCAACTGCAATAATGCTGATTTAAGTTTGTCAAACCAGGCTCTGGAGCCTGTTTCAAACCATATAGATCTTTATTTAGCCTGCTCACAAGGTTTTTGTCAGAACTCTCAAAAACCCGGTTGTTGGTTCATGTAAACAATCTCTTGTAAGTCACCACTCAAGAATGCATTATTTATATCAAGCTGCCTAATCATCCAACCATGTGTTAGAGCCAGAGTAAGCATGATTCTAACTATCATAGGTCTGACCACAGGAGAAAAAGTCTCATTATATTCGAAACCTTCTTGTTGATGAAACCCCTTTGTAACAAAACAGGCTTTATACTTATTTACTGATCCACCAGGATTCACTTTCACCTTGAAGACCCATTTGCACCCTATAGCCTTTCTGTTAGGAGGAAGAGATATAAGAGTCCATGTATTCTTGTAGTCATAAGAGCATTGTATTCTTATTTCATCACCTCAAGCCAAGGTGGACTAGCTAAGGCTTGTTTTACAGTGGAAGGCTCAACATGAGCAAGAAAGGCAAGAGTTCTGACCATGGTTTTAGACTTGGTATTGATTGATCTTGTTGGTGATATTGACCCAATAGAGTTAGAGGGAATGTATTCATATACAGAGGTAGAAGAAGAAGTAGAGGATGAAGAGAAAGTAAGAAGAGAATGAGTTAAAATTACGAAATTAACCCCTTTTTAATTTTTGAATGTCAATAAAAGTACCCCTTATGTACGACATCTCTCCTCCAACATTCATGTTCTGTCCTCCATATCTGTGTCTCTCCTTCCAAAGTCGGTGACCATCACTATTTTTCTCTGTGTCTCTCCTTTCAATCATGTTTTGATGGAATTGGCGATATATCCTCAAGGGTCAACGGAGAAATGAGGCTTTGCACAATGTTAAAATGAGGCTTTGCAGAGATGTACAATTTGATTTTTATGAGAGGGTATTTCTGTCACGTTTTTCGTTCTCTATTATCCATTTAGCTGGTCATCTTACAATACCACATCCAAAGTGGCTTTTTTGCACAGTGTTTCTTGTCCCTTTTTCCAAACAATTCTCAAAGTCTGGGCAAATTGGTTTGCTGCCAAAATTGCTAAAAATCTTGAACCAAACTGGTCAACATAAAATCCTAATATCTGATGCCTGGATGTTTTCTAAGAAAACTCCTACCAAACATCCCTTATTATTTACAATAAGCCCGTATCATGTCAACAAATAAATCATATATTGTTGTTTTATATTAAATAAGGGATTATTAATGTATCTCATACTGTAAAAAATAATTTTATCTAATATACACATATAAAATTATGTGGGGTTCATATTTTCTCTCCCTCTCTTCTTTTCATATGGGTCCCACATATTTTTGGTCAACATAAAATCCTAATATCTGATGCCTGGATGTTTTCTAAGAAAACTCCTACCAAACATCCCTTATTATTTACAATAAGCCCGTATCATGTCAACAAATAAATCATATATTGTTGTTTTATATTAAATAAGGGATTATTAATGTATCTCATACTGTAAAAAATAATTTTATCTAATATACACATATAAAATTATGTGGGGTTCATATTTTCTCTCCCTCTCTTCTTTTCATATGGGTCCCACATATTTTTATGTATGTGTAGGAGATAAAATTATCTCTTACAATATAAGAAATATTGATTTTATCTCTTACATATACATAAAAGTGTGTGTAGTTCATATTTTTTTCTCTATCTTCTTTTCACATGGGTTCCATACATTTTTATATGTATAAAAGATAGAATTATTTTCTACAATATGAGAAATATAAACCCATTAAATAATTATCTAAATGTTTGCGCCACAGTTAATTTAGAGAAGTCCTATCTGCTTATGGAGCAAGAGAAATCTCTTACGAATATTTTAAAGGGAATTACTTCAAGTATAATATTAAAAATATAGCTAAAGTTAAAATAGTGATGAATTGCCAATAAGGGTGGACATAGTTCATTAAGGATTACACTCATATCTTACAAGGGCGCGAGTTCCAATTCTGCTGATCGATGTGAGAATTTTGTTAGTAGACGATATGTAATCCCTCCCATAAATTCTCAAAGAGGCTAGAGGATCTTCCCTAACCTTGATGGAATACTGATATCTAACACCATCTAAACTTCTATCTACCAAAAAAAAAAAAAAATAGTGATGAATTATAAAACTTAGGATATACAAAGATTTTTATTTTAAAAATGAGCTCTACACCTAGGCTAATGGCCAAGTGGTTTTTTTTAGTACATCTTTTTCTTGGATGAAACTCTCTTCTAATAAAAAAATTTATTCATTTTTTATTTTTTTCATTTAAAATCTTCATCTTTAAAATATTTATCTTTTATTTCTTGTCATATTTCTGTTTATTTAAATAATAGAAATTTCTAATATCCTTTATGATAATTTTAATTAGAAACCTAACTTGTCAAAGTTATTTTACTGTAGAACTTATTTTTAGTTTGAGCTTTAAAATAATCTTTAAGCTACAAAATTTATAATTTAAGCAACTATTAAATTTTTTTTTTTGTTTTTTTTTCTTAAGTTTAAAAATAATTTTACCTTGGGAAAAAAAGAAGCCAAACAACTTAGTCTACACAAAAACTTCCAGTAAAGAAGCAACACACATTCCACTGCTTCCATGCGAACATACAAAAACTTGAGGCATAGTGATTAGAATTTACTGGCCCATACAAATTAGGCCCAGTCTAGCCCAAATTTAGACATTGGTGGCCCAATAAGAGTTGCTGAGTCGAGTTGCAACATACCAGATTCCAGAGACTCCAGAACAGAAGCACCAGCTTCTTCATCATTGACGGTTCACTTGTCATTCTAGACTCCAGTCCAATTCCCTGTTTGGGTGCTGAGAAAGTGAAGGAAAGTGAGTATAAGAATCTGAATATGGAACTAACATAGAAGTTTTTCATTCCCACTCTCACTCGCACAGTCATTATCAACCTCATTATTAAAGCTTTCAATGCCACTATTTTCTTTCTTTCTTTTTTTTTGTTGGTATTTTTCTCTTTGGTATTTCGCGTTTGGAAATTGTTTGAATTGATGTTTCGCGTCATTTTTGTTTTCGAAATGATCGTGCCTTTTGGTCATGCTCGTTAGCTGTTTGATAAAATGCTTCAGTTAAATCTTTATGTATAAGACTTTGTGATCACGTAAGAAATTAAGCAAGAAATGTTTTAGTGAGGTTGATAATGCATTGTCAGAATTATTGTGTTCTTAGTTAGTTATCTGAGCTATAGTGGTTTGGCGTGAACTGTGAATTTTTGACCAATTTGTTGTTGCATTACTCAGAAATGGAAGATCCATCGTTTTTCGACCGGATGATCAGTCATCTTCGATCAACATGCAAGTATGACTTCCTGCATATGATGCTTATTTGAAAATGTTGCCATTGCAACTGCCGGTGTCACTTTGTTGTAAATGGCTGTTTAATTATAAATCTTCGCTGCCTCTTGTGTTTTTCTATTTCTGAATATTAACTATCAAATATTTTTCTGTGGCTTTAAAATCGTTAAATGCTCATTTTTTGCATTGTAGTTATTATTTTTCTCTGGGAATTTTTTATTTTATAGCATATAATAATTGTAATCATTCGATTGAAGAATTGTTTAATCATATATATAAATATTTGGAGTTAATTTCAAATCTTTATATATTACTAATAAAGGGATTGACTAAGGTAGCATAGTTTGCATAGTTCAAATGATAGCTTTGTTGTTATGCTTCGGTGACCCAATGCATTATTCTTGGGGCAGTTTCCCCTCGTCTGATTCTCTATCTATTATTGAAAAGTGTCAAAGTTCTAAGAATTTTTGTGATAATATTAGGTATTATACTGGTTATCCAAAGGATCTTGGCCCGTCAAGGCTTATTCATTTTACCTCTGAGCGTGAGTTTGTCAGACTTCTTCATGAAGGCTTTCCTGTGGTTGCTGCGTTTACTATCAGGTGATCTGGAGTTAGCCCCTTAATTCTGATTTAGAAGTTGACTTTAAGTTTGAATGGAAGGGAGATAGAGAAAAGTGAGAAGCTATAGGAATAACTATGTACTATTTAATTATGCAGGGGGAATTACTCACGGCATCTCGACAAAGTATTAGAAGAAGCTGCTGTTGACTTTTATCCACATGTAAAATTTATGCGTGTAAGTTATTTTTCATTGATGTGCATTTGTAAGTGTTGGCAGTCATTTATCAACAGTATCACTCATGATTAAGCATAGTGCTTGTATTTGTTGGGAATTCAAGTGTGAGCGATAAAAAGTCTCATATCGGGAAGGAATGGGCTAAGCATGGTAAATACGTGTGAAAGGACTCATAAGCCCAATACCTTAAGGTTTTGCGTTGAGATATGGTGTCGAATCCCTTAATGTGAGTTTATTGTTTAGGCCTATTTGATGTGTGGATGTCTCCCCGATTTGGGCTCTCATGGTCATTCCCAACAGAATAATCAGATAGAATCAGAAAAACAGGCACACACGTGTTCATTAGTTTATGATGAGTTGAAGTTTACTTTTGAGAAGTGTAGGCAGTAGACACACAGCGGTATTCCCTTCTTTGTATTTTATTGATTGTCTGTGACTATTAATTTCTTGGGTTTTGGCTACTTATTTTGTGCGCACCCTGTAGCATTGTTATTGCACATTAATGAACTGTTGATTTTCTGGTCCTTTGCAGGTTGAATGTCCAAAATATCCTGGGTTTTGTATAACTCGGCAGAAAACAGAGTATCCATTCATTGAAATATTTCATAGTCCACAACATGTATGATATTCGTTAACTGTTCACTACAGTGTCATTACTTCACTGCCTAAATCGTTCATGGGAAGAAATTCTAATAAATTTTCTTTTGATGGTATGATTAAGCAGAAAGCATATATTCTGCAGTGATAATATGGTTTTTATCCATAGGTTAATCTTTTCAGTGATTACCACCCCATATAAAAACCTTTATTGTAATTTGAGGCTTATGTTCTTTTATACAGGCAGCTGACCAGGGAAGGGTAGCTGATCCAAATATTACTAAATACAACGTGAAGGTCTTGCCTGTAAGTTAATTTTTTTTTTTTTTTCCCCTTCATATGTCTATGTGGCACCTTGGAGACTTTGGAGTCCTTTTTGATGCAAACTGTAGCATCTTTTACTGAATATGATTATTTGTATTTGAACTCCTCTCAAACAAATATGTAAAATTGAATCTATTCGTAGGTAGTAAATCCAATAATCTTCCCTTAAGTGACTGGAAAACGTATAATTTTTTTTTGAACTTGCCTGATACATATCTATGGCTCCATCCGTGAAATATTGTAATTTTTTTGTCCGATGTTCATTTTATTTTTTGTAAACTTGCAGTTCAACTACGATGTTAGTACTTACGGATTTAGAGAATTCTTCAAGCGACATGGTATAAGGGCATCAGATCCAAATTAAGGATCCGGTGGAAAGGTTTTATCTATTACTGCCTGTTTTATCAATCTGTATAACAGCACAAGTTCACTACTTAAGGCCAATAGATGGACTATTATATTTACCTGCATGATTGATATCCAAACCTATAATTTGGTTAAGTTCTCGTCAGGGACATTATTTTCTTCGTTCCTTCATTTTTGCTTTTTTAATTTCTTCGATCAATTTTTGGGTGTGGAGCTTGACAATCGTATAAGATCTAATGATTAAAAATGACTTCTATTATCTCTTACAGTAAAGTTATCTTTATTTATATAATGCACCAAGTTTTTAACATTTTAAAGTGGGCGAGAGAGGTTCGAACTGTCAACCAAACGGCCACATGATATAAGCAAACCCGAGTTGACAAACGCATGGGGCCAAACTTGAGATCAAATGTGCTAGGATCGATACCTAAAACTAACCTAAGCCGAAGCCAGGGTACCTACCCCTGTTGTAGTTCAAAACTCCACGTTTCGTAACTATGATCAAGTCGTTTTCAGCCTTACAATTAGTTCAGCGAGTAAACCATAAACTCAAAAGTGTACAAAACCCTCTCTAACTAGTAACGATTCTTATAATTTTACTTTAATAACCCATTTTGTTGTATATTATGCGCTTTTTGTTAGTTCTAAATTACAAAAATTATTGCCTAAAAAAACGAAGATAAGTGTATGACTCCATGTTCATGTATTCTGCTTCTTTTTTTGTTTTGGAATGGAGAAATTACGTCTTTTATTTGTTTAAAAGGTTAATATATTACTCTATTGTTGTCAGAAGTTCTAGAACCTTGCATTTGCATTATAATGCTGCTTATTTAACTTTGTTAAAAAATTACCCCTTTAAGCATCTAAGCCATAATCTTCCACATTTGCATCACCTAACTAAATGAACTGGATATCCCAATCCAACAACTATTAAATATAATACAGATCAACCAATTGCTGATTATACAAGTTTGCATAACTTTCCTTTTATGTTCAAAGTTGTCAGATTTGAGTCATTTGACAGATTTTCCAAGCTGATGAGTTTGAAAATCTAGCAAGGAAGTTGGTTAATAAGTTAATGAAATAATGACAGGAATGTAAGAATAGTCCAAAGACCTCACTTGTTAAACGTCTCAGATAACCTACCTATACCAAACATATCAGCACCTACTACAACAATATGCTGTCAACTTAGTTGTTTTAACTTCCATTTCTTCTCAACTTGAACATTCCCCCATAAAATTCAGCCTTCTTAAGCTCACTTTTATAGCACGGAATAATCAAATCCACACAATGACAGCCTGCTTGAAGCCACCTAAGCTACCTTCCAATGAAGATGACTCTGTGATACTCTTTTCAAATTCTAATTCTCCTGAAGAGTCCACCAGTCCTTCTTCATCTTTCTACCACTCACCACCACCAGCACTGCATCAATTCAGAACTGCATACAAACTTTCTGTCAGAAATCTCTCCTATACTTTGCACCCACATAAGACCACTCCCTTTTCATTTCGCCACCTGACTAAAAAACCAAAGCCTGTAAATATACTCGAGTCAGTCTCTTTTGTTGCCAGAAGTTCTGAGATTGTTGCTGTTGTTGGTCCTAGTGGTACAGGGAAGTCTACTCTTCTTCGAATAATCACTGGGAGGGTAAAAGATAAAGATTTTGATCCTAAAAGTATCTCAATCAATGATCAGCCGATGACAAGTCCAGCTCAGTTGAGGAAGATATGTGGCTTTGTGGCACAAGAGGACAATTTGCTTCCTCTTTTAACTGTGAAAGAAACTCTATTGTTTAGTGCCAAGTTTAGGCTAAAAGAAATGACACCAAAGGATAGAGAATTGAGGGTAGAAAGCTTGATGCAAGAGCTAGGCCTTTTTCATGTAGCAGATAGTTTTGTTGGGGATGAAGAGAATAGAGGGATATCTGGTGGAGAGAGGAAGAGGGTATCAATTGGAGTTGATATGATTCACAATCCTCCAATTTTACTCTTAGATGAGCCAACATCAGGCCTAGACAGCACCTCGGCTCTGCAAGTGATAGAGCTTCTGTCATCAATGGTTAAAGCAAAGCAAAGGATGGTGGTTCTGTCAATCCACCAACCCAGTTATAGAATATTGCAGTATATTTCTAAGTTCTTGATCCTTTCTCATGGTTCAGTTGTTCACAATGGTAGTCTAGAATTGCTAGAGGAAACCATAAGTAAATTGGGATTTCAAATTCCATTACAACTGAATGCTTTAGAATTTTCCATGGAAATTATACACAGGTTAGAAGATTCTAGTTTCAGATATGACACTTTCACCATTGAGGAAAAAGAGCCATTTCCAAACCCTATGTGGCCAGAGGAAGAAAACGGTGGAGTCCAATCTCAATATAGCGGGGAAAGTTTTGGCAATCTTTGTTATGTATACTTGGTTGAGATATTGTTTCTCTGCTCAAGATTTTGGAAGATCATTTATAGAACAAAGCAGCTTTTCTTGGCCAGAACAATGCAAGCACTAGTTGGTGGATTTGGGTTAGGAAGTGTTTATATTAAGATAAGGAAGGAAGAAGGAGGAGTTGCAGAAAGGTTAGGCTTGTTTGCATTTAGTCTTAGTTTTCTTCTGTCTTCAACAGTTGAAGCACTTCCAATATACCTTCAAGAGAGGAGTGTTCTAATGAAAGAAGCCTCAAGGGGAGCCTATAGAATTTCCTCTTACATGATTGCCAACACTATTGTCTTCCTTCCTTTCTTGTTTGTAGTATCTGTACTTTTTGCAGTTCCTGTGTATTGGCTTGTAGGACTCAATCCTTCCCTTACTGCCTTCACCTTCTTCACTTTTGTGGTATGGCTCATTGTGCTCATGGCAAGTTCTCTAGTACTCTTTTTAAGTGCAGTCTCTCCTGATTTCATCACAGGGAATTCCCTCATCTGCACAGTTCTTGGAGCCTTCTTCCTCTTCTCTGGATACTTCATCCCTAAGGAGAGCATTCCAAAATATTGGATTTTCATGTACTATGTGTCCCTCTATAGATACCCTTTGGATGCACTCCTCACAAATGAGTATTGGAATGTTAGAAATAAGTGTTTCTCACATCAAACAGAGGGCTCCCAGTGTTTGATTACTGGCTTTGATGTGTTGAAGAGTAGAGGACTTGAAAAGGATAACAGGTGGATGAATGTGGGAATAATGCTAGGATTCTTTGTATTCTATCGTGTGCTTTGTTGGGTAATACTTGCTCGAAAGGCCTCCAAGACAACAATATAACAAGAAACCAAAAGCTACATCCTTAGCATTACTCCAAAACATATCATAGGCTTCAAACAGATGACAAGTTCATTAGAGTTCACACTAATTACAGACTTGTAGCGCATACTTGTACTAAAAACCAATCAATCACTTTCAAGTTTCAACTGCTATTGATAGTATGATATGAAATTCTAAAGCTACAAATTGATTGTATGATACAAAAATTCTAAAGCTACGAATTGTATCATATGTCCTGTTACTATCTCATTATAGTGGTCCTCTTTCCTTTGTCACTTGCAATGTAAAGGATGAAAATAACTAGAATAACTTGTTTAAATGGAAGACAAACCTAATAGGGAGAGTTGAAAATATTAGGTGAAGCCATTATGAAAAGTTTGGCATGTATCGATTCTAGGGAAGACCAACCAAGTATTGCATAACCATAATCATATTTACACTACGCATCTGGAATCTCTAAAATAGATTAATTCATTTTATTTATAAATTGTTTGCAACTTGTTTAGAATGATATAAGTTTAAGAAGACTTTTTTTTTTTCAAATTTAATCATTTCATTTTAAATGTTCCAAACACTACATAATTATTCATGCTTAGTACAGCATAAATTGGTCAATCTAAAATGGAATTAAGAATATCTAAATCTACATCCAACAAATTGATGTTTAGCCTCATCTTAGCACACTGATTGGTGATTAAGATGAAACATGATATGTATAAATACTACAGCTTTGTTATGTATAAAAGAAGGGTTTCAATTTTCACATATAATAGGAAAAAAATTTGTAATGCTATAAATATAAACATATCTTATATGGACCCCACATCTATTAAAAAAAATGCTATACTAAAATAGAAAGGTCACTATTAGAAAAAAATAATTATCATATAACATGAGAAAATATTTTCTTATAAAAGATATTATTCCAAATAAGAAAAGATGAGGAAAAAAATAAAAATAAAAGAAAACTAAGGTCGTGTTTAGCGTCAAAATCAAAAGCAACAGGAAAAAAGAAAAGGAAGAAAAAAGTAAAGCATGTGTGAGGCTCTTGTTTCTCTTCCTCTCTCATGAACCTTGAGAGCAAGCTCGCTAGTCTAAAACTACATGGATAAATGTCAACAAGCCGGAGAAATAAATAATTACAATTTACCAGAAGAAAAGGAAAATAGAGAAATCAATTTCTTAAATAAAAAACAACAAATAATCATTTTCTGTATTTGTTACAGAATTGTTTTTTGTTAAAATATTTGTTTTTTATTTTGCAAAATGCAAGAAATTCAATTGGTTGACCTTCTTCTTTTTACAATCTATGATTTAAATTTGAACTAATTATAAAAATGCACTTATCTTCAAAAATGCTTTTAAAAACTCCCTTCATCCGGTCTTTTTTCTCACCAAAAAAATGAAAAGCTTATTAACCGTGGCATTTTTATATCTTATTCCTGCCAATTTTTTTTAATCAGATATTCATATCAAATAGATATTTTTATGAGTTCAATGCACAAATTATAAATACTTCATAGATACTCAAAATTACTCAAAAAGTTGTTTATTTATCTGAGTTACTTTGTTATTTATGAAAGGAATGAATCTCGACTTTTTTAATATGAACTTTGGTTTTTCCTTTAAGAATACAGTTTGTTTACAATTGTTGAATCACGAACGAACATAAATATGATTATAAAAAGTTGCAGTGGTCAACTAAAAAAAATAGATATGAATTTTTTAAAGTTAATCTATAATTTAAAAATAGTACAAATAATGAGCCATGATAAAATCAATGTTGCAATACATTTAATAGAAAATAGAGGGGAGAAAAGCTAAACAAAAAAACAAAAGCAGCTATAGGACTTAGTAACTGCAATTGCATCCACATGCACCTGGATTGGAGAATGCCTTTTGGTATATCCATAATGTGATTTGATTCTGATCCAGACAAAATAGAATGTGTCTGACCAAGATTTGAGACCAATCCGGTGCATTTAGCAACCTTTTTCACCTTTTACCTTTTTTGGTATCATTGTCTTTCATGCTAAGACTGAACAGTGATCACATTGCCTACACACCCCACTCAATTGTACAATCCTCTTCATTCACTGACAACTCCATTTTCTTTCTTGATATAAGTATAGTATATTATTCAGTTTTTGAGTCCACAAACTGAGTTATAGCAGCATCTTCAAAGTTCAAAACTTCCCTTTTTTTGTCATGGCTTGCACATGCTGCATCAGTTGAAAGTCCAAACCCCCCCACAACAACTTTTTTTTCTCTCTCAATTGCATCTTCATTTGCTTCAAACAATTCTTCTCATTTTCTTTCAAACAAAGCTTCCTTATTTTGTTTCCTTTTCTAATTCAAAGTTTGAAATTCTCCTGTTGGGGTACCTTGAATTTGTGTAAAAGATCAGATTTCTTTAATTCTAGTTCAAGTATGGGTTTATGTTCTTATATTATATGGATTTCAGTTCCTGGGATTTTTTGTTCTGCACAAATCTCTGGTGAACAACACTTGAAGCAAAGGGTGCTTTCAATTGACTACACTTAAGAACTCAACATATTGGCTTTAGTGGGGGTGAATGGTGTTTTAATCAAAAGCTGTTCTAGAGGGAAGAATTGGGTTGGGTTGAGTTTTGGAGATTCAGAGAATTCATATTCTATTAAGAAAAGATTTTAAAGATGATTGTGATGAAAAACAAGCCAAGTGCAAAGTCACTACTTATGCTGCTTATGGTTCTTGGGTTGTTCTTTGTCACTTATAATTTGGTATTTATGATCAAACACTATAAGGGTGGACATTGGGTAACAGATGAGTTGGGATTTCTTGATCCTGTTATCAGCATGCCAGGAAAGGTGATAAGATCAGCAAATTCCAATTCAAAATACCATGTTGCAGTGACAGCAACTGATGCAGCTTACAGTCAATGGCAGTGCCGGATTATGTACTACTGGTATAAGAAGGTAAAGGATATGCCTGGATCAGACATGGGAAAGTTCACCAGGATAGTGCATTCAGGAAGGCCAGACCAGTTGATGGATGAGATTCCTACTTTTGTGGTTGATCCACTTCCTGCAGGCTTGGATAGGGTAAAAAAATTTCTGCTTTTGTTGTCAGAATTAATATCTTTTCAACCTTAAATGAGTTTCCATCATCTTGTCTTCAATAGGTGTAACTATAACTTTCTTACAGATACATTTGTTTCTAACGTTATTCATTTGTGTATTTTTACTTATCCACCTCACTATTCTCATATCTGCTACACTTATTTTTGGCTTTGGTTGACACTTCACTGCCCAATATTCACTATTGTTGATGTTATCGTTTTCCAATAGAATTTTCCTTTTATGTTTGATAGGCACTTAGTGATCATTAAAAAAAAAAAAAAACCACTCCCCGTTAAACCCGACTAGCGAGTGTAGGTTGGAGGCAATCCTTGTACATAGCCTTACCCTTGTATAATTGCAAAGAGGCTGTTTCCTAGATTCGAACCCATGACCTTTCAGTCATGAAAGAACAGCTTTACCATTGTTCCGGTTCGCCCCCTTACTTAGTGATCATTAATCATGCCTAAAACATTTCTCCATTTCATCTACCTAGCTTAAACCCTACATGTGACATTCTCACCAATCACCCCATTACTTTGTAAAACAGATTTAAGATACATAAAATGTGCAACTTTACGGATCCTTTTAGGATATTGTTTTAATTAAAAATTAAAACAATTCTGTTTTTCTAAGGCTGAAGTTTGACAAACTTAAGGAATGAACTTGGCTCAAGTACACTACTAGGTCCGAGGTTAATTCTCCAAGAGTTGGGAGATGAAATTATGTGGGAGGATAATTGTTTACCCTGTACCAATATACAATATAGAAAAAAAATTGTTTGATCTTCAAAAGCAATATACTGGCCATTAACAAAGGGAATGTGTCATAACTAATCATATTTTGGACATAGATGCTTTTCTATACTGGATCAGGTAATTGTGCCAATGAAACCATGCATTTTCAGAATTGGAAGCTTTGGATTTTATCCTTTTTAGTGGTAAACTTGTCAACTTAACCTGTTTTAAAATGTTGCTAATTATCAGCACTATCACCAATTTTGTTGTTTATGATATTTCTCTTTTATTGCTTTCTATAAAATTGATGCCTTAAAAAAATGTTGTCTTTTTATTTTTTGGTCCAGGGTTATATTGTCCTGAATAGACCATGGGCTTTTGTTCAGTGGCTGGAGAAAGCAAATATTGAGGAAGAGTAATTTTCTTCATTCTGGTTTTCTAGATCTGCTATGCTCTCCAATAGCAAAACCTAAGAAGCATTGTTTTTTTTATTGTTGGTGCAGATATATTTTAATGGCAGAACCTGACCACATATTTGTAAATCCTTTGCCTAATTTGGCTTATGGAACCCAACCAGCAGGGTATCCATTTTTCTATATAAGACCAGCTAAAAATGAAAAAATAATTAGGAAATTCTATCCTGAGGAGAAGGGTCCTGTTACTGATGTTGATCCCATTGGCAATTCTCCTGTAATCATTCAGAAGGTGCAGTCTCATTTAATAGTTTACACTTTACATGTGTTGCCACATTGATTTTATTTGTAATATTCTGACTGTTACTAGCTATTATAAGATTTTTCTTCTTTTTCTAAAAGCATAATAATCTTCCATTGAGGCATTGATTTTTCTTTATTATCAGTCCTTGCTTGAGGAAATAGCCCCCACATGGGTGAATGTTTCTTTGCGAATGAAAGATGATCCAGAAACTGATGAAGCTTTTGGATGGGTACTTGAAATGTGAGTAGTGCTCTATAACTTTTCTAGAACTTTATTTCTAATTAGTTAAAAAGAGGCGAGCCCGAAGCAGTGGTAAGATTGCTCCTTTGTTACTGCAAGATTACGAACTCAAACCTAGAAAATAGTCTTTTTTCAAATATGCAAGAATAAGGTTGCTTATAACGATAGCTGTTACCCCTTACCTTCGTTAGTCGGGTTTGAAGAAGAGGTTTTATTTATTTATTTATTTCTAATTAGTTAGCGGTAATTGATTTTCATTTATTTTGTAAGTTTTCCTGGACACTGGTAGTTCTAACTTTCTGCTTTAATTCTTTTGTTGAATTAAGGTATGCATACGCTGTGGCATCTGCATTGCATGGTGTACGGCATATTCTTCAAGACAGCTTTATGCTGCAGGTTTGAATTGTTTATATTCTCTGGTATTTTCATTTCCTCCCCCTCCTATTTGTTCATTTGTGAATGGGAGATTGCATCTTAACTTGAAGAAGTAAAATATAAGTTAATAACATGTACATCCTTGGAATGTTTCAGCCACCTTGGGACAAAGATGTTGGGAAAAAGTTTATAACCCATTATACTTATGCATGTGACTATAATTTAAAGGTGAGTTGATTTCTTCTTACTTTCTATTTGATATTAAAGTAGCAATACTGTAATTCCATGAATAATATTCCCTTGCATGCTTAAATTTTGTTGTTGCATAAGTTATTTACTTCTATTACTTATCCATCCAGGGGGAACTGACATATGGGAAGATTGGAGAATGGCGTTTTAACAAGAGATCTTATCTTACGGATCCTCCACCCAAAAACCTTTCCTTACCCCCTCGTGGAGTTCCTGAAAGTGTGGTATGTCCTTGCCTTCTAACTTTCTGGTTTCTTTGTTTGGAGTTTTATTTCAAAATTCAAACCCTGCTAGGTGTGGAGTTGGGGGTATTGGAGAGTTGCTATTGCCCCAACATTATTGTTTTACACCTTATTTATCTTCTAGTGAAACAGCTAATATATTAAGAAAACCAAGTGATATCAGGGTTGAACATAATCACAAATATTGATGTATCAACTACATTATTAGCTAAATTTGGCCTCCAATTTATGTAATTATTAGAAAATACCTTCCTTGTCGCTGACCAAAGTCTCTTCTCTCGTGTCATTTGTATTTCCTAAACCCTCATAAAAAAAGAGAGGATTTTGTAGTTGTCTGTACTTGTAACCTTTTATATCAATCTCTGATTTAAACTTAATATTGAAATAGTAATGTGAAATTGTCCTGAATTTTTGAAATCTCTGCAGGAGCAGGGTCTATGATAAGGACCAAGCTAATAACGAACTAAAAGAGAAATTACTCAAGGAAATAGATCTGAATATTTCTCATTCATATATGTTGTAAATAATAATAATTTAGTTATTATTTAGTCATTTATTTGTTGGATTGGGCCAAGCCCATTAGGTCAAAATTAGGTCAAGTATTCTCTATAAATAGAGAACCATTTGTACAGATTATTTACAATTCTATAAGATATTAGAATACCCTTTTTCAAGTTGGTATCAGAGCTCTCGATCTGAGGGCTTTGCTTCCGCACATATTATCTTCTTTTTTAACAAAACCCTAATTTCTTTGCCTCTTGCCGCCATCAGCCGCCACCGGAAAATTTTTCTGGGACCTTTTGGACCAAGGGGACCATTGTTGACCTTATTTTTCCTCCGTTCTATCATTCTATGCACTGTTCCTCCGCCACAAACGACCCAAACACCTCCGACCGCCTCCAATCAGATCTGTCTTCACCGTTTGGACCACTTTCCGGCGACTTTTCAATTGCGACCACCCACAGACAGGTGCGCTCACCGGACGACCACACTAGAAAAATCTCAGCCGGAGAAGCCCCTCCACGCGCTCTCACGCGCCGCCCCTTTCCCGGCGAGTGAAGCCCACGCGCAGCTCCTTTCTCCGGCGCGTGGAGGCGCGTGCGGCCGTGTTTTTGGACCGGACCACCACCATCTTCTCGTCTTCTCGTCTTCTGTCTGGATCTGTGATTATTTTTCTGATCAGAGGTCATTTGATATTCTGTTTGGTTGATTTTATCGCTGGTTGTTAACTTTTTTTGTTAAAGAATGGCCGAGCATGATAGTTCTTCGATCTTATCTGGTAAGAGCACACGTTCTATATCTCTTCTTGCTTCTTGCACTGATTTTAAAACCTCATGGATTTTGGATTCTGGTGCAACTGATCACATGGCTTGTCGTACTGAGTTGTTTTGTTCTTATCATCCTACTGTTGGTAGTCATACTATATCCGTAGCTGATGGATCCCATAAATCAGTTATTGGTTCTGGTAACATTCAAATTCAACCTTCCTTGTTTCTTAAAAATTTTCGTTATGTTCCTCAGCTTTCTACTACTAATCTTATCTCCACTCAAAAACTTACAACTGATTTGAATTGTTCTATCACATTTTTTCCTTCTCATTGTGTTATTCAGGATCTTACCACGAAGAAGACAATTAGAGTTGCTAATGAACAAGATGGGTTGTATCATCTCCTTCCAGACCATGCTAGCAAAAATTAGTCATTAATGACACGTCATCCTTCTACTGCAGAATCTATGATTTGGCTCCATCTCAAGCGTCTGGGGCATCCACCATTTAGTCTTTTGAAGTCTATGTTCCCCTCTCTGTTTCTCAATAAGTCGGTTGGGACCTTTCATTGTGATGTTTGTGAATTTGCAAAACACCATCGAGTGTCATTTCCTTCTAGCACTATTAAAAGCAGGGAACCTTTTTCTCTTATCCATTCTGACGTTTGGGGCCCTTCTAAAGTGCACAGTGTTTCAGGTGCAAGGTGGTTTGTTTCTTTTATTGACGATTGTACTCGGATAACATGGATATACTTGATGAAAGACAAGTCTGAAGTACCAGAGATATTTATTCGGTTTCATCACATGGTTGAGACTCAGTTTGGTAAGGGTATTAAAAGACTCAGATCTGATAATGGTACTGAGTACGTCAATCAACGCCTGTCACAATTCATTTCAGACAGAGGTATGATTCATGAGCTCACATGTGTTGATACCTCTCAATAAAACGGGGTTGCTGAAAGGAAAAATCGTCACCTTCTTGAAGTTGCTAGAGCACTACTTTTCTAGACATCTGTTCCTAGTTCTTATTGGGGAGAAGCAGTGTTAGCTGCAACTTTTTTGATCAACCGTTTACCTTCACGGGTCCTTAACAATATCAGTCCTATTCATTCCATGACTTCTTTCTTTCCTTCTGTTCCCATGTTGCAGAGCCTTCCACCAAGAGTGTTTGGATGTGTTGCCTTTGTCCATGTTCATAAACAACATCAGAGTAAGTTGGATCTTAGGGCTCTTAAGTGTGTCTTCCTTGGTTATACCCCTTATAAAAAAGGGTACAAGTGTTATCATCCACCAAGTCAGAAATTTTTTGTTTCTATGGATGTCACCTTTCAAGAATCTGAATCTTATTTCCTGGGTCCTCATCGTCAGGGGGAGAACAGTTCTTCAGAAGACTCGTCCCCTTCCTTCTTTGAGTCTGGATCAATCTTCTCTCTTCCTAGTGTGTCTGCTCCTGGTGTGTAAGAACCTTCAAATACACCCGAGATACAAAAAATTTTGACACCTGAATTGGTATATCAGAGGAGGAAACAACCCATACTGTCTCACCAGCAAGCTCAATCGTCTGAACCACTGGTAAGTCCTGAATCTCCTATTTCTTCTGAGTCTCCTGAATCTCCTGTTTCTGATTCTAATATTATTTCCTCTCATGATTTGTCTATTTCTTCTGATATCTCTAATGACTTACCCATTGCTTCTACTTCTGATGACTTACCTATTGCTCTTAGAAAAGGAAAAAGATCTTGTCACAAGAAAACTTGTTCCTCCTGTCCCTCTTGTACTCAATACCCTATCTCCCACTTTGTTTCCTCTGCTAATCTTTCTGTGCAGCACAAAAGCTTTGTTTCAGCACTAGATTCTATTGCAATCCCAAAATCAGTATATGAAGCCTTGAAAGATAGGAATTGGGCTCAAGCCATGCAAGAGGAGATGAATGCTTTGGAGAAAAATAAAACATGGGAGGTTATTGATAGACCCAACGGAAAGAAAGCAGTAGGGTGCAAATGGGTTTATGCCCTGAAATATAATTCTGATGGCACTCTTGAGAGATATAAGGCTCGATTAGTGGCCAAAGGTTACACTCAAACCTATGGCATTGATTATGAAGAAACCTTTGCTCCAGTTGCAAAGATGAATACAGTGAGAATCTTGTTATCCCTTGCTGCCCATTACAATTGGGATATAAATCAATTTGATGTGAAAAATGCTTTCCCCAATGGTGAGTTAGAAGAAGAAGTCTACATGGAAATCACACCTGGTTTTGATTCTGTGAAGGGGGAAAATAAAGTTTGTAGATTAAAAAATGCCTTGTATGGATTGAAGCAGTCACCTCGTGCTTGGTTTGGAAGATTTACTAAGGTTATGATGACCTTAGGATACAGACAGAGTCAAGGAGATCACACTCTTTTCTTCAAGCACTCCCAAAATGGGAAGCTTACTGTGCTCCTTGTATATGTTGATGATATTATTATCACAGGTGATGATTTTGTGGAGAGACAGATTCTGCAAACACGGCTTGCCTCTGAGTTTGAAATCAAAGACCTTGGGAAACTGAGATATTTCCTAGGGATAGAAGTAGCTCATTCAAGCAAAGGAATTTTTATCATCCAGAGGAAATATGTTCTTGATCTTCTCAAAGAAGCAGGAAAGCTCGGGTGTAAACCCTCTAATACTCCTATTGAGCATAATCACAAGATGGGCTATGAAGAAGAGAGTCTTCCAGTTGATAAAGGACAATATCAACGGCTAGTTGAGAAATTGATATATCTGGCCCATACTAGACCAGACCTAGCTTATGTTGTTAGTGTTGTCAGTCAGTTTATGCACGATCCAAAAGAAAAACACATGCAGGCAGTAGAGAGAATTCTTCAGTATCTTAAAGGTACTCCTGGTAAAGGATTGTTATTCCGACGTGATGGCAATCTATCTTTAGAAGTCTATACAGATGCTGATTATGCTAGATCCGTGACTGACTGTCGTTCTACCACTGGTTATTGCATGTTTCTTTGCGGTAACTTGGTGACATGGAGAAGTAAGAAACAAGATGTGGTTGCCATATCAAGTGCAGAAGCTGAATTTCGAGCTATGGCTCAAGGCATTTGTGAGTTACTGTGGCTGAAAATTGTACTTGATGATCTCAAAATAAAATGTGAGGGACCTATGAAGCTGCTATGTGATAATAAGTCCGCTATTTGTATAGCTCATAATCCAGTTCAACATGATCGGACTAAACATATTGAGGTTGACCGCCATTTCATCAAAGAGAAACTTGATAGCGGGTTGATTACCACTCCATACATCCCCACTGGGCGTCAATTAGTTGATCTATTAACAAAGGGGCTTCCTTCAGATAGATTTCAAGAACTTACTAGCAAGCTGGGAATGATAAATATCTATTCCTCAGCTTGAGGGGGAGTGTTGCAAATAATAATTATTTAGTTATTATTTAGTCATTTATTTGTTGTATTGGGTCAAGCCCATTAGGTCAAAATTAGGTCAAGTATTCTCTATAAATAGAGAACCCTTTGTACAGATTATTTACAATTCTATAAGATATTAGAATACCCTTTTTCAAGTATATATTTCAAGGTTTCCATTACAACCAGAGCAAGGTAATTACAATAAGTGGAAATGTGAAAGAAATAATGCAGAACTTCCAATAGAAATTAACCAGCAAAAAGTAAAGATAATGTGGAACACATATGAGAGGTTCCACTCTCTCCCAATCCCAAAAGGGCCCAAGACGTTTCTGAATTTCCTGATGCCCTCAACGTTCCTCCGCTCCTCCTCTTAAACAAACGCGTAACCAACTCAACCATCCACAACTGCATTCTGTTAGAGGGCAAACTTGTCCATACAGTTGTGTTACATCTCAGCCGTTCCAATTGGACCAGCACTGACAGCTGGGCCTGTTGCTGCAAGAGAAGCCCAATTCTTCCTATTCTTGTCCCTTCGGTATACCTGCTGGATTGGGGTTGTATCAGTCTACAACTTTTATTATCAATTATTATCTTAGGAGAAAGTCATATTTACAAATTTTTTGTTTACAAACTCTTACAAACTACACTAAGTATGACTGGTCATACTTCAATCAATATTGTATGACCGGTCATATTTAGTGTAATTTGTAAAAAAAATTTGTAAACAGATCCTTCCCCATTATCTGATCTAATATAAGTTGTTGATTCCTTTAGCTAGACAATAAGAAAAGAACTAGTTGAAAGACTTAACTAAATATTTGTTTTTCACTTGGTTTAATTGTAGTACACTATTTAGTTAACAAGAAAGAGCCACATCATTGGGGTAACAAAGGTTGTTCTGTTTTGGTAAAGTTTTTTGCTATTTTTCGGACATGTGGCACCCTAAACTCATAATAAGGGGAGGACATCAGTTTCACATGCTCAAATAAATATGTAAAAGTATTATAACTAAAATCAACTTTTAGAATATTCATTTTGTTTGCAAAAGAAAAGCTCAACTTCTCAGTAGTTAAATATACATATTGGCAATTTTAAATTGCATCTAAATTTACACATTAAACTTTTTCTTTTGTGTGTTGTAGTTATATTTTGCTTAATGGTTAATTTTCACAAAATTAATATTATTTTTCTATCAGTTATCTCTAGGCTATGGGTTTTATGTGATCAGTATAACATCAGTTATAACATGTATTGGATCTCAATGGCTGAGGCATGGGAAAAATAATTGAACAGCAAAATTTGGCACCGTGTTTGTCAAGAGTTTTCAAGTGTTTGCTGGAATTTTGTATGGTTTTTCTTCAACCTACAAAACCACAACTGTTTTAACTGAAGCTTGATCTATGCTATGGTTGTTACTTGCTAATTTTGGCAGCTAAAAGATACTGTGTGTGATGTTTATCTTCAGGTGCGGCTTGTAAAGATGGTTAATGAGGCTACTGCTAACATACCCAAATGGGATTCAATAAATAGAAGCTGAAGGAAAGAAGATAAACCATGAGGATTAAGGCGCCTAATGCCGGTGACTAATTAGATGTGAAACACCAATACTAATTGTAAACCCCACATCTTGTCCCACATTCCATTTTCCTGTCCTTAATTATGATAAAATTGGCTTAGAATCGTGCGTATGTTTTTTTAGAATATTGGCGTATCTTCATTTTTATTTTAATTATTAATTTAGTTGTATTTAATGCTGATTGATTTGTAGTCAATTATTATTATTTTTATATTCTTTCATCATTTTTAAGATTTTAAATTTTGAATTAATTTATAATTGATCTATTTAAGGATGCTTACGACCCTTGTGGTAAGAGCTAAATTTTTTGTTATTTTGATAATAAAAGTTGAGAATCGAAGGGTTTCTCCTTTATCGAATCCCAACTTTCTATTTAGCCAATTTTGCTATGCGCTTTCGATATTATTATTATTATTATTATTATTTTTTAACTTTTTTGTATCTTTCATTTGGATTCATCTACCACCGACCTCAATTAATTTGGGATAAAGGTATTGTTGATGTTGAAGTTACCTTCAACCAATGACTGAATAGAGTTGTGGAGGTGGTGGATGACAGAGTCATGATGGTAGGGAAAGTTGATTTGTTCCTAAATAAGACATGTAATCACGTCAGATAGACCCTCGAGACATGGAAAATGAAGACCTCAGAAAATGATACAGGATTTGAGGCGACAACTTATGTGCCCACTAAGTGAGAAAATCCAATATTTGGAGTAATAACTTGTGCAAACGCTGATCAAGAAAATTCAAGATTTGGAGCAACAACTTGTGCTGATACAAAGCAAGAAAATCCAAGTTTTAAAGCGACAACTTGTGCGGATGCAGAACAAGAAAATCCAAGTTTTGGAGTGATGGCTTACGTGGACAAAGTTGGGCGTTCAATCTGAAGAAGGAATGAAATCAGATGACGCGTCTGATAATGAAGATGAGGATGTCAATCTTTTGGGATTCTAAACTAAAGATAAAATTGGTGAGTATGACCTGGAAATCAGTCTACTTTTCAAGATAGCGAGATGACGATCAAGATTCTTTATGATGATAGTCCCATATTTGATTACTCGAATGGAGAACAATATTAGGGTGACGATCCAATCTATCATGATTCCGATGAAGAATGAGATTGTGACAATGATCTAATCTATGATGATTCTGATGGAAAACCATATTATGATAATAATTCAATCTTTGATGACTTTGATGGAGATCCAGAGGGTTGAGAATTTGTTTTTGTCGTGTTGGATGAGATGCAAATGACCCAAGGATTGTAGCCTAAGTATTTGTGATTCCAAATGTTCCCAAAGCTTAAGACTATGTTGATGGGGAAGCTGCGAAAGACATGGTGGCTCTTAATATTGTTGTTTTTGGGACACTCAACAAGGCTTTGCAAATGATGCATTGAATTCTTCATTTAGCTTGGTGCAACATAATCTTAAGAACATCAATGTGGATTCAAATGTATTAACTTGAAATACTTTGATGTATAGGTTTTTACAAAAGGATGGACAAATAGTGGTGGTCTTTGAGATCTTCTAGTTAATGATTTCAAACAATGATGTTGAGCCTGATGTGGCATCATGTACTTTTGTTATATTTGTTATTGTGCAGAATTTATATAATGGGGGAGCATTTGATACATTTAAGCAAATATTGTGTCATAGTTTCCACCTCCCTTCAACTACCATTAATGAAGATAAAGCAAATTCAAGGGTGAATTTTTTCCTAGCGAGAGAGGATGATGTATTTAGACATGGCTTAAAATCGTGCAAATGTACATACGTTATTGTGAAATTTAGGAATTTTTTTTATTTCCATAATTTAGTAGTGCTTGATGCTAATTGATTTGTAATTGACTATTATTATTTTTTATATTCTTTTCTTAGTTTTAGGAATTTAAATTTTAAATTGGTTTGTAATTGGTATATAAAAAGGTGTTTAAGTCCCTTATTTTAGCAGTTAATTTTTGTTGTTATTATTTTGATAATAGAAATTGAGAACCAGAGGGTTTATCTTTTATCTAATACAAGTTTTCTGTTTAACCATTTTTTTCTATGTGCTTTTAGCATCAAATTATTTTCTTTTCTTTTCATTTAATAATAAAAATCTTGAAAATAACAATAAAAGGATATCATGGTGCAAGGTTTATAGAGATATACTCTACATTACAAAAGACTAATTATATGAATAAGAACACCTCTTATGGTAACATTATTCGAGAAAAAAACCATATAATTGAGATTAAAAACTAAAATTATCGTATTAATATTAATTTAAAATATTCTACTCACCTAATGTAATCAATTGCACGCACTTACCTAATGCACAACTAATTGTACATGTGCTACATGCACAACTGTTATCTGGTAAATTCTTGTGAGTTGCGTACATATCATATGTACAATTAATTATTGATGAGGACATAGGAGGTGCCATGACCAAGACAATAAACTTGGAGGACATACAAGGTCTTGGAGGCCCAATGACAAGAGCAAAAGCTAAAAAGGCTAAAGAGGCTCTAAATCTCTTGGTGACCACTTTACTTGAGACAAGCCCAGGTCTAAAGGAAGAAGAGCCTAAAATGATACACTTAATTGAAATTGAAGACCTTGAAGAATAAGCCTCAATGGATATGCATGAAGGCTTTATTTTACTTGGCCCAAATTCTGCACTTAATTTTTTATTTTCTTATATTTAGTTAAACTTTTTGTAATAAGGCTTATTGGGCTGGATTATTGGGTTGTCTATCTTCTTTTATGTGTAAGTACTTTTAGGTTAAACTCAATATGGTTGTTGCCCACTATATAAGGGAACACCATGGCTTTTGAAGACAGATTTGGAATATCAAGTTAACCTATTTTGGTGAGACTAGTTCTCTTGGGTTCTTTTGAGAATCTCTGAACTTATCAAGGGCATCAATCCTTGTGGCGTTCTTGGGCTTATCAATTCTTTCGAATTGTGGTGCCTACCTATAATCCTTAAACTCCAATTTCGTTCTATATTATCTTGGATTCATATCTCTCGAATTCCTTATCCTTTTCCGGTGATTCTTGTGCCAAAATCGTGATTCAGGAAGCCATCTTTCACCTCGTTTTGGAATCACCCAAATCCGAGGTCTGTAGCGTGAGATACGCTCTGTTCTTAACAGGTCGTGTTGGTGGATGAATTTGGGGTTAGAATTCCATTCCTAGTAGATCCATTCCTCCATTCCTATTGGGGATCATATCATGTGGTAATCAGAGCTCAGTTCTAGGATTGGAATTGGGTTTGATTTTTCTCCATTGTTTCCATCAATTCTGATCACACATTTGGTAACCCTAATCCCTAGTATTTGTGTTTTTAATTTTGAATTGTGCAATTCTGTTTTAGCCTTTGTTGTTGGTTCCTAATTTGTTCCTTTGGTATTCTGTTTGTTTCAATTTCTTGTTGTGTTCATAATTTCTGCACTTGTGTTCTTAAGGTTCGTCCTATGTTCATCATTGTTCTTGATTTTTAATCCTTTCAATCCTTGTTCCTTGAGTAGTATGCTGTTAGTGTGTTAAATAATAGCTTGTTTTGTGGAGAATTCAATCAAATTCAGTTTAGCATTACTGCAATCTGAATTTTTCATTCCAAAATTAAAAATTCCATTTTATTGAAGCATCAGGTTTTATAAAAAAAAAAGAGTTGAAAAAAAAATATATATGCTATACAGCTACTTGTTACACACTACTACTCTCAAATCAGGTCCAAAGTGTCTTCCTTGAATAATTCCTTCAATTTGTTTTGGTTTTCTTTGTTTTGCCTTCTTTGACATATTTCCAATTTGTCATTACGAATTCTTGAGTTTGGGATTGTACTCTTGAGTGTTCTTGGAGATTCTGTTAAGAACTTAAAGAGAGCTATTGAGAGGAAAAAGGCAAGAGAGCACATTACACAAAAGCCTAATAGAGAGCAACAAACACGAGTGATACATTTTAAGAGTGTAAACACGTGAGCGAGTGGTGAGGTCCAATTTCTTTTATTCTTGTTCTTTTCCTTGAATTATGGCAGGTGCAGGTGGTGAAGGTAGCCCTCCTCGTGAGAGAGAAAACAGGTTGCTAATCGATGCCATTATGGATCGAATGCAAACGATGATGAGGGAGCAAACAGAGGACTTATATGAGAGAATTGAGCACTTAGAAAATCAAGGGACTCATGATGATGATGGAGGTAGAAGAAGGGTTGATAGAAGGAGAAGAGATAATGAGGATGTTGCTAGAGAGGATATAATTAAGGGGGTGAAGCTTAATATACCATCTTTTAAAGGAAAAAGTGATCCGGAGGCCTATTTGGAGTGGGAAATGAAGATTGAGCATTTATTTTCATGTCACAACTATACTGAAGAAAAGAAAATGAAGGTGACAGCCATTGAGTTTAGTGATTATGCTCTTATTTGGTGGGACCAATTGCAAAAGGAGAGGGTAAGATATGAAGAACCATTGGTGGATAGTTGGATGGAGATGAAAAGGCTAATGAGAAGAAGATTTGTTCCTTCCCATTATCATAGAGACCTTCACAATAAACTTCAACGGCTTACACAAGGTAACAAGAGTGTAGATGAGTATTATAAAGAGATGGAGGTTTCCTTGATTAGAGCAAATGTTAGTGAAGAACGGGAGGCTACTATGGCACGTTTCTTGCATGGACTGAATAGTGACATAAGGGATGTTGTGGAGTTGCAAAATTATGTGGAGTTGGAGGATTTAGTGCATCAAGCTAGTAAGGTAGAACAACAACTCAAGAGAAAGGGTGTCATGAGGAAAAACTCTTCTAATTTTAATTCTTCAAGTTGGAAGGACAAAAATAAGAAGGAGGGAGGTACTTCATCAAGCAACCCCACTGCTGCACCTCAAAGGACTCAAATTAAGTCCAATGAGACCCCTAAGAAGACAAGGAATAGTGAAATAAAATGTTTCAAGTGTTTGGGAAGAGGTCACATAGCTT